TGTGATACCATCTCGTCACCAATTTGTAGCCATTTTCCTGCGTCGAGACATTAAGAAAGCCTTTATGAGAAAATCTGAATATAAGCGCCCAATCTGAATCCGATAGATTATCCTCCAAGTCTCTGTTCCAAGCCTAACAAGAAGGTAGAGAGCTATAGGCCCTACTCTGAACGAGAAGGGGGTAGATCTCTGAGATCAAATGCTTACGTGGTTCACCTTTCGAGCATATGGATTCAAAGGGGGTAAGAGGGCGGGTCCAATTATGGAAGGGTTTATGCGAGAGCAAAAAATGCCTTATCTGCAAGTAAGCCCAGAAGGGAAAATTGCGAGTACTCAGGCTATCTCGCAGTTCGTGAAGTGATTTCACCTTGCCGTCATGGAGAAAGTGTTTAGCTAAGACCTGACCATGCATCCAGTGTTCAGCTAGAAAATTTTTATTCATGCCGGGAGGGAAGTCAGGGTTGAGTCGGATGGATGTTAGAGGATTTTGTGACTCAGAAATAGATGCTGATTTCCAAGACATGTGAAAGGTTTTCAAGGTAGGGCCCACCAGGGGGTGAGTGAGAAGGACTTGAGGTGTGTGCTTTGAAGGAAGCCATGGGATCGATGTCAGGGGTGAAGGTGAAAAGGCATGCTCTAATTGTACCCAGTCTTTAGAAGCCGAGTGTACGTGCCAATCCACCACATGAGAGAGGTGGCACGCCGAGTAGTAACGGTGAAGGTCAGGAAGCCCAATGCCACCGTTAAGTTTAGGAAGAATCAATTGAGAGTATGCGATGCGCGGACGCTTATGATTCCATAAGAATAGGGAACACAGTGTTTTGCAGGATTTAAAGAAGGCAAGAGGTATGAGGATTGGCAGAGTTTGAAAAAGATAGAGGAGGCGGGGAAGAATATTCATTTTAATTATCGCTGCCCTTCCAAACCATGAGAAGCACGGACAATGCCATTTTATTAAGATCCTCTTGGAAAGAACGGAGGGCGGGTAAAAAATTTTTCGCATATAAATCGTCTACGTTGCGGGTGAGCTGTACACCTAAGTAAGAAAGGGAATCCTTTTCCCATTGAAACGGGAAAAGCGATTCACATTCCGAAACTACTAACCGAAGACATGGTGATGTTGAGAGCGAAAGACTTGGAGAAGTTAATCTTAAAATTAGACAAGAATCGGAAGAGGGCAAAGTCTTTTAGTAAATTCGGCAAAGTGGTATGAGGCTCGGCAAGGAAAAGAAGGATATCGTCCGCGTAGGCCGCAAGCTTGTATTCCTTGTCCGAAACCCTAATCCCTTTGATATCGGGGTTAGAGCGTAGCTTCCGTAAAAGGGGCTCCAGGGATAGGATGAACAGGAGTGGGGAAAGGGGACAACCCCTTTGCAACTTTGCAGATGTGTATACTCCCCAGCAAAAACATCTGCGTTGATGAGTCCCTCATTCATTTTTCTGGCCACCTTGCATTCAAACAGTTTCTACCCAGCAAGCGTGCCAGATATGGGTCAAGATGTACAGTATAAGACCTTTGAGAGGGCAACAGGCTATACATATAAGATTCAGATTTACGAGGGAAAAGATAGACACGTGGAGCCCCCCGGATGCCCAGACTACATGAGGAACAGTAGCAAGATAGTTTGGGACTTGGTGTCACCCTTTTTTCATATGGAGTACCACTTATACGTAGACAATTTTTATTCAAGTGTGCCACTATTTAGACATTTGTACATCTTGGAATTAGCGCATGTGGCACCGTGCGACCTAATCGTCGGGGCTTCCCCCAATGGCTGGTAAATACCCGTCTTAGAAAGGGGGAAAAAGTCTGCTTGAGAAATGAGCAATTGCTCACAGTGAAGTGTAAGGACAAACAGGATGTTTTCTTCCTGTGTTTCATTCACGCAGATACGACCGTCCAAATTACCACGGCAGCTGGTGTTGTTGAGAAGCCCCTCTGTGTCCATGACTATAACATTAACATGGGAGGGGGTGGACTTCAATGACCAGATGATGAAGCTGTACTTAGTTTTTCCCAAAAAAGCCAGACACTGGTACAACAAAATGTGTCTGTTTATTTAATTCAATTGGCTATATATAATGCATTTGTGCTTTACAAAGCAACTGAATGAAGTGGATCCTTCCTAAAATTTCAGGAAGAGATCATCATGGCCCTTTTGTATCCAGAAGGTGCTACAGCCCAAACCCCCAACCCAGATGCAGTTAGCAGTTAGAGGCATTTTCTCAATGCCATTCATGGTACCCCAACCCAAAGGACACCCCAAAAAAGATGCTGTGTCTGTAGCAGACATGGAATTAGGTGTGATACCTGCTTTTTGTGTCACTCCTGTCCTGGCCAACCTGGTCTCTGCCTCAAGGACTGCATCCATTGCTACCACACACTAGAGGAGTATTAGTATAGGGTACAACACAGCACAGTTCAGGGCACATATTTGCACAGGGTCTCGAAAGAGGTTAGGTAGTCAGGAAACTGGCTATCGCATTTTGAGAGACCATGCAATCTGGTTAAGTTTAAGTTAAAAAAAAAAAGAGTATAGTAAAAAAAAAACTTAAAAAATAAAAAGTACAAGTACAAATTTGTTTTTTAAAATGTTAAAAACCAAAAAAAATGTTTTTGTTGTTGTGGAGTTACTGTTCTACTGTCACATTGTTACTGTTTTATTGTTAACCATTGCTGTTTTCTTTGCAGTAATGTCATTCAGCTCCACCACTGTTTTTTCTGACAGCAACAGGGGGGTCTTGCTCTCAGAATATACATAAGTGTGTGAAGCGCTGTTGGATGAGATTCAAAGTGGTCATTGGATTTCAGGCTCCTGTATGTGGCTAAGCTCCAACATGTAGTATCCCCATACTCAGTAGAAGTAGCAGAATACATTTTGGGGTGTAATCCCACATATACCCATGGCTTGTGTGAGCAATATATCATTTAAGTGACAAAAACCGGTGGTAAAAAAATTAAATCTTCAATGGACTCAACATGCCTCTCAGCAAACAGCTTAGGGTGTCTACTTTCTGAAAAAGGGTAATTTGGAGGTGTTTATACTATTCTGGTATTGTAACACCTCAAGAAATATGATAGGCAGTCAGAAAGTAAAAGCTGTGTAAATTCCATTATCTATACCATAGTTTGTAGATGCTATAACTTTCACACAAACCAATTAATATGCAGTTCTTGGGATTTTTTTTTTTTACCAAAGACATGTAGCAGAATCCATTTTGGCCTAAATTTATGATGAAATTTTAGGTTTTTGGATGTTTTTTATACAGAAATTTTCAAAGTTTTCGGTCTTTGTTTACAGCGCAAAAAGAAAAAAACAACAGAGGTGATCAAATATCACCAAAATAAAGTTCTATGTGTGTGAAAAAAGGACAAAAAATTTAACATCACTGCGCAATTGTCAGTTAAACCAGCACAGCACTGTATAGCAAAAAATGGCGTAAATTGCAGAATCTATACCATAGTTTGTAGACGGTATAACTTTCACACAAACCAATCAATATACACGTATTGGGATTTTGTTTTACCAAAAACATGTAGAAGAATGCATTTTGGCCTAAATTTATGACTAACTTTGAGTTTACTATATATTTTTATAGCGGAAAGTAAAAAAAATATTGTTTTTTTTCTTCTAAACTTCTGATCTTTGATTATAGCGCAAAAATAAAAGCACACAGGTGATCAAATACCACCTAAAAAAAAGCTCTATTTGTGTGGAAGAAAGAACATAAATTTTGTTTGGGTATAGCATTGCATGACCGCGCAATTACCAGTTGAAATTGTGCAGCGCTGAATAGCAAAAAAAGGCGTGGTCAGGAAGGTGGGTTAATCCTCTGGAGAGCAAGTGCTTAAAATTATTTTAGAACACACCAAATAAACAGTATTTATTAATATAGCCAATACATCTACATCCAATGTAATTACAGTGACCCTGACACTATGAAAATGACATTACAATCAGCTTATAAAAGAATATGTTTCATAATTATCTTTCTGGAAGGTGGTGAGTGAAATCTTCCCTCTCTTGAAGAGTGATGGGTGTCTCTGGTATCTGACACTTTAAGATGTTTTGGATACTTCCCCCCACTCTGGTGACAGTGGTGTCTCCACACTGACTACATTGTTCTGTAGTGATGTAATGTCTTGTGGGAGGAACCACTACACCCAGCAGGGGACAAGGATTTCAACAAACCCAAACTGTCTGATACCAGTGTTGTCCAGAGAACAAATTAGACTCACCGCCCATCAGAGATGTAAGTATTAAATATTTTAATTTAACCGTTCATTCTCACTACACTAGCAAAAAATACTAACATTAACAATAACATAGATGATGCAATAACGACAGGTAAACCCAGTGTTGCTCCTCACATATTAGTGGATAACTGTCTTTGTATTCAGGTCAGGTCTGAACAGAATTATGTAACATTTTTGGGAAGAATATACAGCCAAGAAGTCCAGAACTTGAGGCCATTATAGCAAAGACCTCCACAGCCACCATGTATTTCCCTCTGGTGCTCAGATAGGCCGGGATCATGGCAATCCAGACACTGCAGAACACCAGCATGCTGAAGGTGATGTACTTGGCCTCATTAAAACTGTCCGGTAATGTCCTGGCTATAAAAGCGATAATGAAGCTCACAGCTGCCAGAAGCCCCATATATCCCAGGACAGAGTAGAAGCCGATAACTGAACCCTCATTACACTGAATGATGATCTTTCCCTGATAAGAGTGAGTGTCCTGATCCTGGAAGGGGGGAGAAATAGACAACCAAGTGACACAGATTATGACTTGGACCAATGAGAAGACACAGATGATACAATTGGGCAGTTTGGTTCCCATCCATTTCCTCCAGAGACTCCCAGGTTTGGTGGCTTTAAAAGCAATACACACCATGATACTTTTGGCAAGTAGAGAAGAGACAGCAACTGAGAAGATGACACCAAAAGAGGTGACACGCAGCATGCAGGTTACATCTACTGGATGGCCGAGGAACAAGAAGACACAGAGGAAGCTCAGCATGATGGAGACCAGGAGAAGATATAGCTCAGGTTCCGGTTGTTCGCTTTAACAATGGGGGTGTCCCGGTAATGTATAAATATCCCCAATATTAAACCAGTCAGAAGACAACAGAGGATGGAGACGGCTGAAAATACTGCAACAATGGTGTCATCAGTGTAGGAGAGAAATTCCACCACTCTTGGAACACAGCGGTCCTTCTTCTCATTTGGCCATTCTTCATCAGGACATTTCATGCAATTTTCACTGTCTGCAGGAAGAACAATACAAACACAATGAACATCGGGGTCAGAGCTTCTGAGGAAATGAATTGTATTGTGTTGTCTCACAGCTACCAATGTGATGTCCATCAGTGCATTGTGGGAGAGGAAAAGAAAATATAATAAATATTGTATACTGTAAATATAATACAAATATTACATTTAATATACATATACATTATAATGTAATACATGACCTAAATATATATTAAAAAAAAGTTAAAAAGATTCATTAATTTAACAGTTTCCCATCCAGCCACTGTACATAAACAGCCAGGCGGGACAAGCGTCATTCTGACTTGACTTACCTTGCATCCAGTCAGAACCTGGAGGCACACGCCTCTGTGTGGTCGAGTTGTCTGTCACAGTGTACCAGTAATCATCATCAACATCTGTCAGTGTACCAGTACCCTCTCCCAGCACAAATTCCCCCAATACCCTCTCCCAGCACAAATTTCCTCCTCCCAATACCCTCTCCCAATAGAAATTCCCCCAATACCCTCTCCCAGCACAAATCCCCCCCAATCCTCCCTCCTAGCACTATCCCCCCTCCTAACACAAATCCCCCAATCTCCCTCTCCTAACGCAAATTCCCCCCAATATCACCATCTAACACAAATTCCCTCTAACCCCCTCTCCTAGCATAAATTCCCCCCCTCAATTCCCTCTCCCAGCACAAATTTCCCCCAATACCTTCTGCCAGCACAATCCCCCAGTTTCATCTCCTAGCACACAAATTCATTCCCAAAATCCCCCATCCTAGTATCAATTTCCCCCCAGTTCCCCATCCTAACACAAATTCCCCCATTCCCCCTCCTAACACAAATCCCCCTCCCCATGTACCCTCTCCTAGCACAAACTCCCTCCAATCTCCCCTCCTAGCACAATTTCCCTCCCAATCCCCCTCCTAACACAAATTCCTCCCAATCCCCCTCTCCTAACACAACCCCCCCAAATCCCCCCCTCCTAACATAAATCCCCCCAATCCCCCCTCCTAACACAAATCCCCCAAAATCCCTCCTCCTTGCACAAATTCCCCCTCAATCCCCTTTCCCAGCACAAATTCACCCCAGTACCCTCTCCTAGCACAAATTCACCTCCAACCCCCCCTCATAGTATCAATTTCCCCCCAATTCTCCCTCCTAACACAAATCTCCACCAATTCCCCTCTCCTAACACAATTCCCTCCCAATACCCCTCCTATCACAAACCCCCCAAATACCACCTCCTAACTCAAACCCCCCAATCCCCTCTAACACAAATTCCCCAATAACCTCTCTCAGCACAATGTCCTACCAATACCATCTCCTTGCACAATCCTATTCCAATCCTCCTTCTAGCATTATCCCCCCTCCTAACACAAATCCCCCAATCTCCCTCTCCTAACACAAATTCCTTCCAATACCACCTTCTAACACAAATCCCCTCTCCTAACAAAAATCCCCCCTAACCCCCCTCTCCTAGCATAAATTCCCCCTCAATCCCCTCTCCCAGCACAACTTTCCCCCAATACCTTCTTCCAGCAGAATCCCCCAACCCTCCCTCCTACCACTCCCCAATCCCCCATCCTAGTATCAATTTTCCCCCAGTTCCCCACCCGAACACAAATTCCCCCTCTCCTAACACAAATCCCCCCAATCCCCACTCCTAGCACAAACTCTCCCCAATCCCCCCATCCTAGCACAAACTTTCCCCAATCCCCCCATCCTAGCACAAACTTTCCCCAATCCCCTCATCCTAGCACAATTTCACCCCCTCAATCCCCCCTCCTAACACAAATTCCCCCATTCCCTTTCTTTAAGCAAAAAGTCCCTTTCAATTCCCTCTCCTAGCACAAATTCCCCCAAACCCCCCCTTCTCACACACATTTCCCCATCTCCTTTTCCTAGCACAAATTCAACCTCAATCACGTCCCCTAGCACAACCCCCCAATCCCCTCTTCTAGCATAAAATCACCCCAACCCCCTCCCAAATCCCACCTCCTAATGCAAGCCCCCCAATCCCCTTTCCAAACACAAATCCCATCAATCCCCTCTCCTAGCACAACCCCCCCCCAATCCCCCCTCTCAGCACCAATCCTCTTCATTTAATCCCCCCAGATAAGACAAATTCCCTCAAATCGTTCCTCTAGCTAAAACCCCCTCCAAATTACCCCTCCCAGCATAACATTTTCCCATTTCCCCCCCCCCCTTTTAGCACAATCCCCCCAACCTCCCTTACCCTAAACCTCCCTCTTACTCCTAGCACGTATCCCCGATTCCTTCACTTAGAACAAAATTCCCCCCACCATCATCCCCATTACCCTTCCCAGCACAAATAGCCTCCAACTCTTGTACAAACCTCTCATCTCAGCTCAATTGATTATTACCCTTCCCCCGTTCATTGTGTCTCTCCTAGCACAATCCCCCAATTCCCGCTACTAACACAAATCCCCCTCCCCCAACCCTCTCTCCTAGCACAAACTCCTCCCAATCCCCCCTCTTAGCACAACTTCTCCCCCATGCCCCCTCCTAACACAACCCCCCCCCCCCAATATCCCTCTCCTAGCACAAATTCCCTCCCAATCCCCCCTCCTAGCATAACCCCCATTCCTCCTAACACAAATCCCATCTCCAATTCCCCTCTCCTCCAAGTGAAATCTTAGGGGTTTCAGAAGGCCCCCCTTAGACCTGCCATGGTGGAGAGTAGGGAAACCAGTGGCCGTGGCTGCGCCCTAGATGGCAGTAAGCCCTAGGCAGATGCCTAGTTATCATGATGATAGTACCGGCCTTGCTTTCAGGATCTTTGAAGGATAAAACACAGGGAAATATTCACACATAGCAGTACTTCATATGTTCTCCCCCAGACATGCACTTTAACTACAGCGGTACCTTCTGCCCAGCCCAACAATAACTTACTAACAAATACAAACTGTACCAGAAATGTTGGATATCTCTCCTTCCGGACACGGGACGCACTCATAGCAGCATTTATGTATTGAAGATCCAAACATTTTTCTGCTGCCAAGTAAACAGGGATCTGAGCATCGAGATACCGGGATCTGAAATCAGATATTATTATTATTTTGTAAAGATCCATCATATCCCATAAGGCGATACAAAATAGATGTTACAAAGAATGAGGTTCTGCTTTGTCTCTACCACGGGCTCAAGGTGAATTCTGCAGGTTTGAAATCCATGCATTCAATATTCTGGGGTTTTTCATCCATTTTGGTTGTTTAATTATCTCCGTTGTATGGTGTCCTCTATTTTAGGATAAATTTCTCTATTAATTCAAGGTTATCCTTTAAAAATAGAGGGTTTTGGTTTCAGGGTTGGTGTTTTGGGGTTTTCAGAACTTCTTTTGTTATTTTTGTATTTTTAATTGATGTTGTATGTTTCTGACCTGATCTGTACCTAAAGCTGCCTTTTGTTCTCAGCACACTTCTGCATTGTTGGAAAGAAATAAAAAACTAAATACAAGAATAGTGTGCACCTAAACCACCTCACAGTATATGCCTCACATTTACATAAGCCCCTCCCCTCTAGGTCAAATAAAAGTTAGGGATATACCAATTAGGCCTATTATTCCTGACAAAACTACCCTGCTGTATCCTCTGCAGCATCTTAATTCTTGTAGTAAAGCCCCGGCCTGTGCTCTTTTTGGCTTGATATTTAAATTTGTCTAGCTTATGAGACACAGGTTTGATCACAGCATAGACGGGTATATTGGATATAAACCTGGGGAATAGGGAACATTGAATTGACTTGTTTGCTGATGATGGAATCCTCCTGCAATCTAATTATTATTATTATTATACAGGATTTGTATAGCGCCAACAGTTTACGCAGTGATTTACAATATAAAGGGGGACAATACAATTACAATATAGTTCAATACAGAAGGAATTGGAGGGCCCGGCTCATGGAGGTTACAATCTAAAGGGTGGAGGAGGTGGTACAAAAGGTGATAGCTGCAGGGGATGATCTGATGGAGGTGACTCAAGTACAGATCTTAAATGTAGGTGGGGTAGGCTTCCTTGAATAAATGAGTTTTCAAGGATCGTCAAAAACAGGGTAGGAGCTAACCGGACATACTGCGGCAGGGAGTTCCAGAGGATGGGAGAGGCTCTGAAAAAGTTTTGGAGGCGAGCGTGGGAGGAGATAACAAGGGAACTGGAGAGTAGGCGGTCTTGGGAGGAGCAGACAGGAGGGTTTAGGTGATATCTGCAGAAGTCTTTTGATGAAACGCGTCGAGTGGAGCCTCACTCTGACGTCATTGTGCTGTCCACCATTTTGGAAACGGTTTATGAATGCTGATATTCCTCTGTATATTTGTAAGTAGGATTTTATTTGCACAATAAAGGTGCACTGGTTTTACTGCACTATGAGAGGCATGTTTTATTTTCCATGACACTGTTCCAACATCACTAAGGAAATGGCTTACTACTTTAAGTGGATCCTGGATCCTGATAGGACATAGAAGTCTGGATGATATTACATCAATACAAAGCTTATAATGACCTCCTATACTTAAAGGGTCTCTTCATTTGGTAGGCCTCCATTTTATTCACATGGTGGTGGTTCGTTCACACTGGTGATTAGTTGGATGGAAAGAAGATTAATATATATTATTATCATCGCACTTAGGAACGCAAGTTCTTTTCTCAAATTGTTTTGTGGAGATATTATTCATGTGGACTTCAATTATTATATTGTCCTTTACATGGACCGTATATGATATCGCTCTTATACACTATTTTGTTCATGTATTATATTTACAGTTGTTTTCACGATTTATATGCAAGTCTTCATAATAGCCGAGTGTTCTCATGGGGGTAGAAGATGGAAAGGGTGGCAAGAGGCAAGATTTATTTCTGTTAAGCAGCAATGAAAGGAGACGCATACACTGTATAGAAGTACATTGGGTGGAAGAATCCTCAAACATTTAATCTGCACCATTTGCAACAGGAGCTTGGTAGTTGTCACACTCCCAGGACTGATTAATTATAACTAGGGATAGGCTTCATGTTCAAGGCGAACCTAAGTTCAACTCAAATATGGGCCGTTTGTGTGTTCGACAAAAACACGCGAATGGTACGGGCATTCGGGAGGCTATTTGCCTGCCATGCCCCACAATGCACTGCACCCTGATCATGCACTGTGATTGGTCAAAGCAATGCATCTGACCACAGGTCAGGTACAATGTCTTGACCAATCACAGCATGTGAGGGTGTCACAAGGGTTAACCCCGCCCTCTTGTGATGTAATGACAGTATATAAAGAACTGTCATAGAGGGCGCAGCTGTCAGAAGGCGGGAGATGGCGTCGCAAGCGGAGTGGGCTTTTTTTTTTTTTTTTCATTTCTTCCAGCAGCGGGCATTATGATTGACATTGAATCTACTTTCAGGGACATTTTTTAATTTTTCATGAAAGGACTTGTCAAAGACTGACTTCTGTCTATCTTTTTTTTACTATTTACCGCATACTCATTCACATGGGGGGGGGCTGTGATCTGGAGGCTCCCTTGTTAAACCGCCACAACCTTCGGCCATGGTTGTGGGAAAGAGACCCTTGTCCCCCATCAACATGGGGACAAGGTGCTTTGGGGGGAGCCCCCCTGCCCCCAAAGCATTCCCCCCATGTTGCGGACATGTGATCTGATTTGGTTCAGGAGGGGAGGGCACTCACTCCTCCCCACCCTTTCCTGACCTGCATGCTCGGATAAGAGTCTGGTACGGATTTTGAGGGGCCCCACGCCATTTAAAAAAAATGGGGGTTCCCCTCAATATCCATACCAGACCCAAAGGGATTGGTATGAATGGGATGGGGGACTCCACACTGTTTTCTGTTTAATTATTTTAATTGTCAGGCAATACTGACAATTCTTTTGACATTCAGCTGTCAGCAGGGAACCCCACCGACAGCTGGAACATGAATGAATATTTCATTCCTAAAACACCGCATGACTTAATAAAAGAACTCATGCCATATTTTAGTAACTGAGCGGGATCTTACCCCATACGCCGATGCAGAACTGCTCAGTTTGGTTTGGTTTGTGTTCGAAGTTCGCGATCGAACATTCTGTAGTTTCGGATGTTCAAAACCTTGCGGGGGTGAACAGGGGGTGTTCAGCCCATCAATAACTTTAAGAAATGTCAGCCTTTCAAGCAGGTGTGGACTGTCAACTCATGGGGCCCCCCAGGGCAATAGTGGATCATGGGGCCCCTGTGTCCTTGCCCAAACTCAAAAAAGCCTATGAAAAAGGTACCAGTGGCATCTCATGGGACCCCCTACTGACTCCGGGCCCTCGGGCAGTGCCTGAGTTTTCAAATGGTCAGTCCGCCCCTGCTTTCAAGTTTGATTTTGGAAGCCTAAACTCTTTTTTCTGTCACAAAGCCCCCCCAACAGCATTAAATGTATGCTCAGAAAGGATTCCGATTGCAAGGCAGCCCTTCCATTCAACCATATACTAGACACACTCTGCTCAGTGGGCCATCTTCATTACCCAACAATCATACAGATTGCCTGGTGGAAGGATGTGAAAAATTTGCCCTTGACCCCATGTAACCTCTCACCATAAGATGCAGCCACTGCTAAAAGCTGCTGGAAACAGAAAGCCCGGGCACTGGGTAGAGAAAAAATGTTTTGAACAGCTCTCAGCCAAAGCTCCTCTTTTCAACAGCAGCAATCTCCACACTACATTGACCATGAGATGGTATGCTACCGGCCTCTAGAGAGGAAATTAAAGTGTAATTTTATAGTGAAAACAAAAATGGCCAATCACACAAGATTTTTAATGCAGAAGAAACATGCGTTGTCTCATCTGCATTAAAATGACCCACCAGTCTGTCCGTCCCTGGACAGTGAGCTGCACATGCACAGCTCACTGATCAAATCTGGCAACGCTGAATCTGGCTGCAATCCTGTGTATGCCATATCGGCCCGGACAATGAAAGCAGCTGGAGCTCAGTACATGAAAGCTGGCCGCTAGAAGATGTCAGTGACAGGTGGGGAACTCCTAGATGCAACGTCACTAGATCTGAGGTGAGTAAAGTTCCACTTTAACGGTTCCTCCATTGCACTTCCTCCAGGTGTTATATTTGTTCCTCGCTCTTTGAGGGCAGGATAAACTCTGCAACTTTCCTCTTGAAACATTACAAACATACATAACATACATACGTGCACAAACTCCAAAGAAATGCTGGGAGGTTAATTGGCTGCTGTCTAAATTGGCCATAATATGTGTATATATGTGAGTTAGGGACCTTAGATTGTACACCCCTTGAGGGTTAGGGGCTGATGTGAATGTACAACATATACGTAAAATAAATAAATTATATATATATATATATATACACACACACACATACAGTTGTGTTCAAAATAATAGCAGTCAGACATCACTAACCGGATCAATCACTGATTTTGGTAGAAATGATATTTCTACATAGCAAATAATTTCCTAGCAGGTGTAGTAGAGTCATAGAAATCCAACAGCCCCAACAGTCATGACATGCGTGCTGCTGATTCTGTGTCATTGAATCACTCATTGAAAGGGGCGTGTTCAAAATAATAGCAGTGTGGAGTTCTATTAGTGAGGTCATTCATTCTTTGAAAAACAGGTGGAAATTATTGCCCTTATTTAAGGAAGGAAGGCAGAAAATGTTGTACATGCTGGTTACAGTGCATTTCTCGCTGAAATTCTGAGGAAAATGGGTCGTTCCAGACATTGTTCAGAAGAATAGCGTACCTTGATTAAAAAGTTGATTGGAGAGGGGAAAACATATAAAGAAGTGCAGAAAATGATCGGCTGCTCAGCTAAAATGATCACAAATGCTTTAAATTGGCAACCAAAACCTGAAAGACATGGAAGAGAGCGAAAAACTACCATTGGAATGGATAGAAGAATGGCCAAAATGGCGCGGACTCAGCCAACAATCAGCTCCAGGAAGATGAAAGAAGGTGT